GGGTCTCACCATGCCAGAAACCATATACCTTATGACTAAGAGGACAGGGTCAGATTCTAGTAACACAAGTGGTGCGAGCCCTAGCAAGAGACTTGATGAAAGGATGGGGACTTGTTGCTAAGAATAAAAGACATCACAAAAGTTGCCAAGAAGCTTGAGAAGCTAGATGCTGATATAAAGGGTAATATCAGATATCTATTACAGATTTTAAAGGTAATATACATACATAGGAGAAAATAAAAATAAATCTATAAACATATCACTTACATCCTCTTACATACACTTCTTCCACTCCACATGCTCAATCAGGAAGAAACGTATTAGTAATCCCGACAAATATAAATGGACTAAAATCCATCAGTTAAAATAATTCTTGCTATATGCTTTTTAAAAGTATCACTTAAGACATAACAATAAGAAGGTTGAAAATGGTAAGAAATATACTTAGCAAATGCTAATCAAAAAAATTTAAATATGGTATTAATCCTAGATAAAACTGACCTTATACAATGCAATTGGACCCGGTGGCTTAAAGTCACAATGGGCGCGTGTAAATGTGTGCCCAAGATCCCGAGAGGAGAATGGAGGAGAAGGGATTATGGTGTGGCCATCCCCCCGAGGGGTGATTTCTCACTTTCTCTCTCTCTGTCTCTGTCTTCCTGGCAAGTGCATGTGCTCTATAGCAAAAACCTAAAAGAAAAAAGAGAGAGAGATTTTTGTTATAGGGCGTATGCGCTTGCCATATAAACAGAGAGAGGCAGAGAGACAGAAAGCTAGAAATCAACTCCCCAGCAGGGATGGCCATGCCGCGATTCCTTCTCCTCTATTCTTCTCTCAGGGTCTTGGGCATGCATGCACACATGCCCAGCTCAAGTTTCTAACAACAGGGTTTGAGACTCCATCTGTAGTTGGCCATGTGAGAGTCCAGCAATATAACTATTGCCTGCTGGATATGATGCATAAAGTTTTGAGGAAATTTTATATTGCCACTATAAAGGAAAATCAGAATCTAGTAGTTTGAAGATGTCTGCTCTCTGAGAAACTACTCTAGGTGCACATATCCTAGGTCTCAGTGATTCCCGTAAGTGAAGAAGGTAAAATGTCAAGGCTATGCATGAAGATGGATATTACACTGAAAGAGGCAGTTACTTCTGTGAGTTCCTATAATAATTAAAATACATAGATAGATATCATGACTGGATTAAAAAGACAATTTGAACTCTGTGTTGGAAAAAACATTGAAGATTATGCAGTCTTGCCCACACTCTGATACAAATTACCTATCAGCCATCCCTAGGATTCAGGGTAACAGCAGGAAGCTCACAGAAACTGACTTAGGCTACTATTCTGAAGACTTCCTTCCTTAAGGGTTTATTCAAAGCAAGAACACATGGGATGTTGGTATAAAGTTGAGACCAAATGCAGACAAAACAACACAAGTTCATAGGAATTTAGATGTTTGAGTGTCTCATCACCAGGTGATCCTAGAATTCTGAGGACCAGCTTTTATTTACAGAATGTCAGTCCTAGCAAGCTGGCTTCACCTTTGAGGCATAAACTCAAAGAAGATCCACCTAAATTAGCACATGGAGCAAGCAGGGTAGGAAGCTAGGGATTGGCTGAATAAGAAGCTCTGTAAGGGCAACAGACTAAGCCCTAGAGTTGAAGTGGGAACCAAAGACCTGATGGCTAGCAAATGGTTAGGGTCTCACCATGCCAGAAACCATATACCTTATGACTAAGAGGACAGGGTCAGATTCTAGTAACACAAGTGGTGCGAGCCCTAGCAAGAGACTTGATGAAAGGATGGGGACTTGTTGCTAAGAATAAAAGACATCACAAAAGTTGCCAAGAAGCTTGAGAAGCTAGATGCTGATATAAAGGGTAATATCAGATATCTATTACAGATTTTAAAGGTAATATACATACATAGGAGAAAATAAAAATAAATCTATAAACATATCACTTACATCCTCTTACATACACTTCTTCCACTCCACATGCTCAATCAGGAAGAAACGTATTAGTAATCCCGACAAATATAAATGGACTAAAATCCATCAGTTAAAATAATTCTTGCTATATGCTTTTTAAAAGTATCACTTAAGACATAACAATAAGAAGGTTGAAAATGGTAAGAAATATACTTAGCAAATGCTAATCAAAAAAATTTAAATATGGTATTAATCCTAGATAAAACTGACCTTATACAATGCAATAATTTGTGTGTCAAATTTTACAGTTTATCTTATTAAATGGTATTTTTATTTACTTTTGAAAAACTGAAAAGAAATTCTAAATATATACATATATACCACATATATTTTACTTCTTAATTATTATAATTTTTTTGAGAGGTTTTCGCTACAGGGTGCGTGCACTCGCCAGAAAGAAAAAGACAGAGAGACAGAAAGTGAGAAATCAGCCCGCAGGGTGGATGGCCATACCGCAATCCCTTCTCCTCCGTTCTACTCTCGGGATCTTGGGCATGCACACACATGCACCCAGCGTGAGTTTAAGCCACTGGGTCCAGGACTCAAAAGCGCAGTCAACTACATGGGAGTCCAGCAACATAGCCATTATGCCAACTGCTGGTCCCATTTTTATTTTATTGTATTTTATTTTTTACTTCTTAATTATTAAGAAGAACATCTTGGTTATTTAGGGACAACATTTTCTATTCTCCAAATGGCTCTTTCTCTGCAGTCCAATACATCCACACAGAATCCATCCGTGCACCCATAGCTCGGCACTGTGCGTGCAAAGATAAAACACCCACTCCTGGCCTTGACACACTCCAAATGCCATATATTGTATACATCTGCATAATATAAAAGGGTAACTCTTTATTTAAATTCTTCTTTATATAAACAATAAATGACTAGCTATATGAGGTCAGAAAAATTATTTATCTTCCCTGACATTGTCTTTGAAACTAAAACTTCTCTTTAACAATCTGTGAAGCCATGATCAACTTCTATTTAAGCTCTTCTTCACCTGAAGAACAAATTCATCTTTTGACCTGCATTTATAATATCACAGGCTCTGTGCTAAAGCCTTGATGACAATGCCACCTGGTATCCATTTATTACAATTATCCTGTTGATTAGGACGTTATAATGCTACAAGGCTCAGCCAGCCACCAGACTACATGACTCCATAAACCTTTAAAGTCAACCTACTGCAAAAGGCAGACTCTCTCACTCTCTGAGTTCCCAGTTTGCAAGTCACAATTCTCATCTCTTCATTAAACTCCTGCCAATATTAAGAAAAAGGTGAAAGTAAACCTCATGAAACTACCTGGAGGGAGGAAAAAAGATTAATTATTTAATGTGATGAACAACTGACAAAAACAAAAAAATAGTTAAATGTTAGCCAAAAAGAATGAATACAAATCTCAGATTCATTTCTGTTATAAAAGCAAACAAAAAAACTTGAAGTAGGTATTTATCTCACATGGCAGAATATATAACTAATAACTATTTTAATTGTTTTTGTTTGTTTTTAAGAGAGATTTTTGCTACAGGGTGTGTGTGCTCACTAGAAAGACAGAGAGAGACAGAGAGAGACAGAGAGAGACAGAGAGAGACAGAGAGAGACAGAGAGAGACAGAGAGAGACAGAGAGAGACAGAGAGAGACAGAGAGAGACAGAGAGAGACAGAGAGAGACAGAGAGAGACAGAGAGAGACAGAGAGAGACAGAGAGAGACAGAGAGAGACAGAGAGAGACAGAGAGAGACAGAGAGAGACAGAGAGAGACAGAGAGAGACAGAGAGAGACAGAGAGAGACAGAGAGAGACAGAGAGAGACAGAGAGAGACAGAGAGAGAGAGAAAGTAAGAAAATCACCCACCAAAGGCGTGGCCACACCTCCTTCTCCTCCATTCTCCTCTAAAGATATTGGACATGTGCGTGCACGTACACATGCCTGGTGAGAGTTTCAAACCTCACAGTCTGGGACCTGAACCATGGCTGGCCGTGGGGGAGTCAAATACCTTAACACATATGCCACCTGCTGGCACCCTGATAACTGTCTTTGGAAAAAAAGAAAAAAAAAGGAGGAGCCTTACAATGAGCTCCTTCAATGTTAAGAAGTTCCAAACATTGCCATCGTGATGTATAATCATAACTTAGAAAAGATAAATATAAACCCACTTTTAACAATTTTCTTGAATATTTGAACTACACTTAATTTCAGAGCAATTTTCTTAAATCTGGATGGATTTATAACTGCCTATAAGGAAGGGGGACAAAAGGTTATGAAACATATTCAAGATTATATAATGGTTTAACATTTCAACCTGAAAAATGCTAAGCCACTGAAATGAATCAATGTATACAATAACATACAGCAAGTATTTTCTTCAAAAAGAGAAATACGTTAGGCTAGGGCTATAAATCTGTCCCAAGTACTCTATCTACCACTGTAGTATGAAAGTGATTACAGATCACAGCTAATGATCACAGTTTTACTGGTTAACTTCTAATAAAACTTCTAAAAACAAGAGGCCTGAATATACCAGAGGCTTTTGAAGAGTTCATGGAAAATACATATTATGAAAAAACTATGCATAAATTCTATTTCTTTTTTGCCCCAAAACAAACTTATACTTTAATTGCATTTTTCTAGGAATTTGTTGATGTCTCCTCATAGAACTACTTTCAGGATTAGACAATCTGTGACCTATAAAGGGATTGGACAATGAGAAAATAAGATGAAGAAAAACCACATAAGCCCTTCTGCTATGATGAAGGACTTCATCGTTGATAAAGAAAACACGACTCTAGCACAGCAGTGTCATCTCTGTTCAATTCACGGCCTTCTACACAGAGACATGTCACCACTGGGAACCCCTCATGACCACTGGTTGTATGGCTTAAGAAAAGTGAAATTACAAAAGTATTTAGATATGTTTATTTTCCTGTTATTTAAAAGCTACATTTTTATTCTTAAAAACCTCTTACAATATAATTATAAGAATTTTATTTAAGACTACTTACCCATATCTTGCCAGAGATGCTAAAAAGACCAGCCATTCCAGAGATTCTAAATAAATAAAAAGGAAAACCACTAGTCACATATACCACAAAAAAAATATAAACAAAACTCTAGAACAGGAGGACTGTCCCTGCACCATCTCCTCAGTTCTTGTTATCTATCTTTGTCTATCCTGGATTCATTTCCATTCTTGGAAAAGTTTTGCTTCCACAGCCATCCTCTGAACCACCTCACAGCAAATACATTCCAACTCCTTGGCCCATGTACCTTTCATTGTTCATACCTGGCAAAAACTCCACCCTGAGCAGCTGAATGTCTCTGGGGAAGCATTATATGACCAGCTGACTGTTCTCACTGCCTCACAGTGCCAAAGCTAAGCAAACACTCAATATTGCCCAAACCTACTGCATTTTTTTTTTGAGAGGAATATTTTTCTATAGGGTATGTGCACTCACTGGAAAGAGAGACAGAAAGTGAGAAATCAACCCCGGAAGGGATGGCCACGCCTCAAGTGCTTTCTCCTCCACTCTCTTCTCAGGATCTTGGGCATACACACACATGTGCCTGGCTTGATTTTAAGCTGCTGGGTCTGAGACTTCAACAGCGGTTGACTACATGGGAGTCCAGCACCACAACCATTACGTCATCTGCTGGCCCTCCCTATAGCATTCTTTTGGGCTTTGATAAAATTGCTCACTTCCTTTTCCCTGTCTTCAAATCTTACATATCCTCCCTCTCTCCTTGAACTCTCTGCTAAAAGTCCTCATATGTCTCTGTGAAATCAGAGGCCAGTATGTGATCTCCCTTTTCTTCCCACTGTGAAATTCGAACCTGGTGTACATTGATCCACCTTCTCTTGTTATGACAGAGAGTCTATCTGCCCGATCACAGCCTAATTCCTCAATTTGTGTCTTGGATCCTAGCCCTTTGTCTTGCTAATGACTTAGTTCTTTCTGCCACCCCTTCTTCCTGTAGAAGAAATGTCTCCCTCTCTACTGGGTCAGTCTCATCAGCATGCAAACATGTGCGACTCTTCCTCTATCTTTTATAAAGAGCTTCCCTGGACCTCACATGGCTCTCCATTGATAAGTTTCTCCAAGATTAGTCTACATTTGCTGTTTCTTCTTCCTCACCATTATTTTTAACCTATTCAATCCTGGCTTCCATCCTCACACTGCACTAATGCTTCTTATCAGGCCATGAAGACCTCATGTTGTTTCATTCAATGTCCTTGTCTCAGACTTGAGTGATGACTCCTCCAGCATCTTCTACCAGGCTCCTGGAAAATGGTAAATCCCTGGTTTTCCACCTGCTTCTCACTGGTACTTATTTCTGGTTTTCTTTTGCTGACTCCTTCACTACTCAACTTGGTAATTTGAGTGTGGCTCATGGCTCAGTCTTATGTACGTTTACTCTTTTCTGTTCTTGCTAGGTGTTCCCATCCCTATTAGGGCTTTCAATGCTTTCCACATACTTTGTATTTATGTTCCTGAATGCTCCATGAAAACCCAACTCCATTTATCCAGTTTTATGAAGTTTCCATCTCATTTTTAACATACCTTATACTGAATCCTTTATCTTCTCTTGCCCAAATCAGAAATTGGTATCTAGAGTCACCAAGTTTTTTTTTTTTTTTTGAGAGATTTTTCACTATAGGGTGCGTGCGCTCGCCAGACAGACAGAGAGAGACATAGAGACAGAAAGCGAGAAATCACTCCCCAGGGGAGATGGTCACGCCGCAATCCCTTCTCCTCCATTCTCCTCTCGGGATCTTGGGCACGCACGCACACGTGCCCGGTGTGAGTTTTAAGCCACCGGGTCCAGGACGCGAACCGTGGTCGACTATGTGGGAGTCCAGCGACATAGCCATCACGCTAACTGCTGGTTCCCAAGAGCCACCAAGTTTTCAAACCAGGACCCAGAAGTTTTTATTCGTGAATCTCCCCTCTCCTCCACCTTCAAAATATTATTCAAAATCCACTCATTCTCTTCATCCCCATCACTGCTACCCTGATACCATACCCAAGGCTGGACACTAGGACAACCTTTTAATTGTTCTTGCCTTATTCACCGCATCCAGTCTCTTCTTCTAAGAAACAACTTCTCAGTGCATGTTCTGATAATCTCTACCTTCCTCACTGTGCAATTTAATGTACAATTTGTTTTTATTTCAGTAAGGATAATTCTTATATGTGTTAATATCAAGTGAATTACAAATGTGACAAATCATTCAAAATCAAAATGATCTGTGGGTTGGGACCAGCAGTTGGCGTAATGGCTATGTCGCTGGACTCCCATGTAGTCGACTGCGGTTCAAGTCCTGGACCCAGTGGCTTAAACTCACGCCGGGCGCATGTGCGTGTGTGCCCAAGATCCCAAGAGGAGAATAGAGGAGAAGGGATTGCGGCATGGTCATCCCC